TTTACTAAGGCAAATGTAGATAATAATAATGTAGACCTAAGACCTTAACATAGGTAGTAATAGGCCGTTAATGTAGGCAAACACTAGGATAAGTTAGCTAGGGAGAACTGGCAGCCCTAGCTTGAATGATGAGGCGCGGGTCTCAAGAACACAATAGCGTTCTTCTTAAGACGGACACCATCAAGACAAGACGTGCCGTGATCAGCAGACGGCGCCCCACATGTCTTCACATCTGAGACTTGGGGAAATCTGGTAGAGGCACCTCGATGTACCGTAGATGACCTCCTCCGGCAGGCCCATTCAGTAAGATAAAACCTCCACCTTTCTCCTCATAGATTCTGGCCAGTGTCTTGGGAGATCGTGGGTGGGTTTTAACTGTGGTCCCGGTGTGCAACAGAGAGAGCATGCCCAGTAAGTACCAGTGTCTCAGAGCCGTGTGAAGCTAGGGTCTGAGTCTGCATAGTTATACTAGGGGATACATACCTTCTTGGATATAGGAATTTCTGAGGTGCAGGCAGGACACTAATTACGATTGAATATTGCAGAAATTAATGCTCCCGGTTGCACGTGGTTTCTGAGGGGGAGTCCAAAGGGGCTAAGGCTAGCTTAGGGAAGCGAAGATCAGGATATACTGCAACACCAAGTAAGTTAGTCCTTTATACGTGCATGCAGGCGAGGTTTCTTGCAATACCAATCATTTGTGAAAATCTGTCCTATAAGCCACTTGTGAGGCTGAGGTACCCACCTCAGAGCTCGGTGTCAACAGAGTTTGCCAGGGTAGGCGACTCACTTGGAGGCAGTCCACACAAATTTTCACAGAGTTCTTGCTAATTGACCAATTTTACGTTTTACATATATATTAAATATATATTTACATTATGTATGTATATATATATATATATATATATATATATATATATATATATATTATATATATATATATATATATATATATATATATATATATATATATATATATATATGCAAACAACCACTGTGAAAGAGTAGTGAAATTCCAACCGCTTTCGTGACTATATATATATTATTGTAATTACGAACGAGTGGTATTAATCAATAACAACACTGCGACTAGCCAAGGATTCGAACCCATGCTGCTTTGGCCTGCCTCATGGTGAGCGGTGGCCGGTGGCCTGGTGGCTAAAGCTCCCGCTTCACACACGGAGGGCCCGGGTTCGATTCCCGGCGGGTGGAAACATTTCGACACGTTTCCTTACACCTATTGTCCTGTTCACCTTGCAGCAAATAGGTACCTGGGTGTTAGTCGACTGGTGTGGGTCGCATCCTGGGGGACAAGATTAAGGACCCCAATGGAAATAAGTTAGACAGTCCTCGATGACGCACTGACTTTCTTGGGTTATCCTGGGTGGCTAACCCTCCTGGGTTAAAAATCCAAACGAAATCTTATCTTATCTTAGCGAGAACCCATGACGCTGTAACCCGCAGGACCACGCAATCCTATTGAATTGCGTGGTCCTGTGGGTTACAGCGTCATGGGTTTTCGCTCACCATGAGGCAGGCCAAAGCAGCATGGGTTCGAATCCTTGGCTAGTCGCAGTGTTGTTATTGATTAATACCACTCGTTCGTAATTACAATAATATATATATATATATATATATATATATATATATATATATATATATATATATATATATATATATATATATATATATATATAAAATCACGAAACAAGTGATGTTAAATCATTTACCAAACTGCTGCAGGCCAGGACTCGACCCTACGAACCTTGTGCCGCCTCCAGATACAGCACAATGCACGCATCTCTTTACCACGGAGCCAGCGATCCTACAAGAACCAAGCACGCAGCACGTAGCTATGTGTTTTCTGCCTTGGCCCGAGGACACTCGTGGCAGAGGTATCTCAAGGATTAATTTCAGCCACTGCCACGAGTGTCCTCGGGCCAGTTTTACCTATTCGGCATGACATATATATATACAAAGAAAGATCACAGTCAGCAGGATTCGAAACTACTACAGGGGACGGTCAAGATTCCCAGGGAGCGCTCTAGTCCACTCAGCTACAAATGCCACATAGACTGGGTAGCCTGGTGCACAAGTCATGTTTCTTTCCCCGTCCAGGCATGTCAGTCAGCCTCAAGCATGGATTCAAGCTATTTCAATCTCCTCCTGTATGTTCTGACCTCTCAAGCTATTTTTATATCAATGCAGCACGCAGAAACATATGGGTATATACAGAGAAAAATGGCTTGTGAACCAGGCTGCCCAGTCCATGTGGCATTTGTGTGGCCGAGTGGACTAGAACGCTGCTTGGGAATCTTGATCTTCCCCAGTAGTAGTTTCGAATCCTACTGACTGCAATTATATATATATATATATATATATATATATATATATATATATATATATATATATATATTATATATATAATTCTTCTTTCAACAAACCGGCCGTATCCCACAGAAGCAGGTGGCCTAAAATGAAAAACAAAAGTTTCTCTTTAGTAATATATACAGGAGAAGGAGTTACTATCCCCTTGCTCCCGGCATTTTAGTCGCCTCTTACAACACGCATGGCTTATGGAGGAAGAATTTTATTTCGCTTCCCCATGGAGATAAGAGGAAATAAACAAGAACAAGAACTAGCAAGAAAATAGAAGAAAACCCAGAGGGGTGTGTGTATATATATTCTTGTATATACACATGTAGTGTGACCTAAGTGTAAGTATAAGTAGCAAAACGTACCTGAAATCTTGCATGATTATGAGACAAAAAAAAGACACCAGCAATCCTACCATCATGTAAAACAATTACAGGCTTCTGTTTTACACTCACTTAGCAGGACGGTAGTAACTCCCTGGGCGGCTGCTGTCTACCAGCCTACTACCTAATATAAATATAAATATATGACTCTCTTTAAGACCATGCTAGAGAGTGTATTGAATCTTTCCCTGGAAGACGGACAGTGGTTGCGAGCCTCACTTCCGGTCAGGCTTGGGGGGCTGGGAGTACGCAGATCCTCCCAGATTGCTCTACCAGCTTTCCTATCCTCTTCCATAGCATCAAACGAGTTAAGACAAATTCTTCCTGATAACCTCAGTGACTCAGCAGGAATACAGAACCCTAACTATGCCAGTGCCATCGCTGAATGGGAGACTCTTGCTGCTCCAGCACCAAACCCTAGTGCAGCACTGGCTCACAAACAGTCAAGCTGGGATGGCCCGATCACCGAACATCAGACAGGGAGACAGCCCATCTCCAGGCTGTGAGCGCACATCACTCCGGGGACTTCCTCCAAACAGTTCCCATATCGGCAATGGGAACGTGCGTCGACCCTAAGACCCTCAGTATTGCAGTGGCTCTGCACCTTGCTGCCCCAATTCACACGGAATATACGTGTATTTGCGGCGAAGCGCAGGCTGACCAATGTGGTCTACATGGTCTTAACTGTTCCAAAACCAAGGGCTGGCATGCAAGACACAATGAGGTCAACGACTTCATAAAGAGAGCCCTTGCAACAGCTGGATGCCCAGCCGAGAGGGAGCCCCGATCACTAGCAGCCAACAATACCCACAACCCAGCAAACCCCCCTAACGGGATCACCATCTATTCTTGGAAGAATGGCAAGCTCTTAGCATGGGACTATAGCTGTGTGTCCACACTAGCTGACACCTATATCCATCACAGTGTGGGGCGACAGGGAAGAGCTGCTGACCACAGGGAGGAGTACAAGATCAGCAAGTACAGGGACATAAGCCAACAGTATCAATTTGTCCCAGTGGGATCAGAGACCTTGGGACCGTGGGGAAAAAAATGCCACACGTTTCCTTAAAGAATTGGGTTCCAAACTCATCGACACCACCAGAGACCCAAGGGCAGCCACTTTCATGTTCCATCACCTCAGCGTGGCCATCCAGAGGGAAAATGCTTGCTGCATACTTGGCTCGCGTCCAGCCTCGGAGGAGCTGGAGGAAATCCATAATCTTTAACATGTCTTACCATTGTATTCATCTTATCTCCCTGATACACCCCATCAACTAACTACACGAATACCACCTGGTGGTTCACACTTACACTCACCCATTTGACCATAAACAGAAATATTAATCTCAATCTTAAAATAATGAATCCTATGATACTCCAATACTGAAACTATGTACTGTGCCAAAACAAAGCATTCACATTGCTAAACTCACAAACTAGTATTTAGTCACTTAGCCATAATACCAACTTACCTCATAATTTGTAATATTTTAAAATAAAGAATTAAACTAAGTCTGCCCGAAATGCCTAGCCATGCTAGGCGTTCTAGTGTAACCATTATTTAACTACATGTAAACCACACAACAACCAAATTCTGTAAATTCAACATTGTAATCTTTATAGAGAATAAACTTTGAATTCTGTAAATGTATTCTGTCTATTAATAAATTTTCCCATAGATATAAAATATAGGGGGTGGTAGGAGAAGAAAATATTCAAACAGCTCCGGGAAGAACCTTGAGTTCTCTCTGAGGTACGTTTATTGTCTTCTCTGAGGATCAGGGTCCCCAGTCCAGGTATAGAGGTGGTACCTCCCTACATTTTATGTATATATATACATACATACACACACATATATATATATATATATATATATATATATATATATATATATATTATATATATATATATATATATATATATATATATATATATATATATATATATACATACAGAGAGAGAGAGATCGCATTCAGCAGGAGTCTTGTCGTCCCTGTACTGGGTTCGACTCCCGCTGACTGAGATCTTTCTCTGTATATATTCGCTTGTTTCTGCGGCGTGGTGTATTGATATCTCTCTCTCTCTCTCTCTCTCTCTCTCTCTCTCTCTCTCTCTCTCTCTCTCTCTCTCTCTCTCTCTCTCTCTCTCTCTCTCTCTCTCTCTCTCTCTCTCCCCTCTCTACACTTTGGCTACTGTCCCCAACAAAAGATATATGGATTAGTTTCGTAAATTTCTCTTCGTTCTGCTGGTTTCTCACCATTTTTTATTATTAATAATTTTTCCTCTACACGACTATAAATACAAACTGAAGGTTTTTACGCCATGCAGTGTAATACTAATTTTGATCTTTTACGTTTATTAATAAACATACTAAACATTATCCACCTCTAAAATAAGTTAAATATTGCTTAATTAAGCGTCGTAAGTTAATTGGCGTGAGAAATGCAAATTGTAAAAATCTTCAATGACAATAAATAAATAAATAATATAAGATCACGATAGATTGTCTATCTACGGCTCGTAGTCAAAGAAGCCAAACTTTGGGAAACGATTGAAGTAAGAATCAATGTTGAAGCCAAACTTTGGGAAAGTGACATCAGCATCGAAGAGAGAGGCTTCCATGTCTGGTCTTCTCTTCTGTGTCATCTCTTCCTTCTCTTTCTTCTCCAGTTCGGGACGAAGAAGGATCTTGGCGTCCTCAAACAGACTACTTGTAGGGTGTCTGGAGTGGCCTCGCTTCCGGCTTGAAGGGTTCGTGTGGTCTGCTGTCCTCTGGGATATTGGAAAACGTCGGATGGGATGTTTCGGTAGAGGCTGAGACTGATATCCAGAACTGTGTGTGTTGTGACTCCTGAGGCGCTGGGAACTGAGATTATTTAATTTAAGAGGCCGTTGTTTCTGTGAGCTGGAAGGACCATAAGCTCTGAGACTCTCCGGTTTCTGGATGTTATAGTTACCAAGAAGGTAAACTGCAGCCGGTTGTCTGTGGCTGTTGGTGTGAGATGGCCACACACGTCCGGAAGTTCTGTGAAATGAATTCACGGTTTTTACCTTGCTGTAATTCTTGCCATGTGATGGCAAGGTTGACATAAACTGGAACTTTGACGGAGGTGATGTCATAGGTTTTCTATTTTTATTGTATTTGGGTACAAAGGGTGGCTTGTAAGTGGTGATGGGAGGCTGGTGTGTAGGGTGCATCACCAAGGGACGGGACTTGTACGCATCTTTGGGTACGAGACTGCTAAAGTTTTTCTTAACCTCGTGGATCTCCTTAAGTTCTAGAGACTTAAAGCGGACTGGGAGGTACATGTTCTCGTACTCGTCTTTCTCGTCTTCATATTCCTCCTTGTGAATTATCCGTGTTGACTCCCGCGGCAGCTTGTCATACAAGGGATGGCTACCAAACTTGTTCCTCACCGCCTTGATGTCTGGGACGGGAGTGACTGTGGTAGTTGTTAACTCACTGTTTCTAAAGTCCTTCATCATCTTTCCTTCCCGTGTCCTGACGTTCTTGATGGCATCGAGTAACACATCTGACTTTTCAATTTCCTTCTGCAGGCCAGTGTAATACATGATTTCGTCACGATTCATTGTGTCCAACTCTCCGAAAAGAGTTCTTTGAGCTGGAGTATTGTGAAAATTATTCTCGTTGACAGATGAAATGGGTGCTGTGTGAGAACTTTGGGTGATAGAGGATGGGACTTGAAAAGGAGAATCCCAAGATCTAGAAGGAGAAGGTCCAGAGAGAGAGGCGCTGGAGAACGTGAGACCAGAGTGAATCGCCTTGTGGTGGGTCGGTCTCACGTACCTTGATTCTTTCTTCTTGTCTACTGGTTGAGACGTAACGTAATACCTGATGGGTAGCTCGCCGCCGGAATAGCGGCTGTTGGTCAGGTGCTGGTGCTGGGGTATGTGGTAGTAGTCACTAAAGTAGCTCTTGTTGTGGGTTTTCTCAGCATCCATGGCCTGGGAATGGCCTTCACTAACCTTGCCACCACCGTAGTAAATGGAATCTACAGAGGAGGGATAAATCACTGGATAAATCTCTGAGGGGATGTTGCGTTTTAGATAGTTCTCTGATGTATAAATATATCTTAGATACGATGGTGTTGAAATATAGCCATCGATGAAGGTATTAACATTGGGGAGTTTTTGAGGGTCACCAGAGAAGCCGCCTACTCCAGTCTTAGACATGAGGGAGACAGGCACAGCTCTCAGATACAAGTTAGACCGCTTACTACTCTGCGTGGGAGTTCCTTCAGTTGTACCCAGAGGTACCGGCTCGGTCGTATCCAAGGGCACCCGCTCTGCTGTATATAAAGGGAACTTGTGAAGGCTGCTGGGTGAAGAAGATAAGAGGTTTTCGGAACTAAGAGGCTCACTGAAAGCTTCTCTTGAAACCTCTGCTACGTCTACGTCAGGGCTCTCAATGTTATCCTGGGAAAGCGCCATGTAATCAGTGACATCGGTGCTCAGTAAAGTCTGGGGGCGCTCTAATGTCGTGGCGACCTTCCCTTCATATGTTTTTTCGTCGTCGCTCTCGACATTATCGGCGTTCTTGGTGTAGTCGTAGTCAAGCATGACTTCGTAGTGCCTGGGAGATCGGGGCTGCACGGGCCGTGAGATCAGGGATGGGTCGTGGACGAAGCCGGTCTCTCGAATCAGTGGAAGGTCATGAATGGAGTCCAGCTTTCGGGCAGGTGACTGGCCATGGACAAAGTCGGACACTCGGCCCAATGATGAATCAAGGACGGAGCCGGACCCTCGGACCAGTGGGACAGTTCTAAGAATCTCCATGTTAGCGAGGCCTGGCAGGTCCTGGGACCCAGCAGACACCTTGGCTCCTGCCTGCCACGTCGCTGCCACCAGCCAACACTGCAGAAACACAAAGTTTTAATAGTGTATTAGAAACAACAGTTTATTGCTAACATAAATAAAACTTGTCATTATAACAACATTGGTAATTATAAAAATAAAATTAAACATAATTATGGTAATAATTGACAGATAATTGACTAGATAATGAATAAAAAGTCACAATACCGTGGCTGGAACAATTTACAAAACACCTGCACTTAAGAAAGGAATTTTATGGCGACATTTATCTTCTTCCTGGACCATTGTCAAATCACAACTGAGAGAGTAAGAGGCAATGGCCTAGGAAGGACCGAAACACCATCCTACGGTTTCTCTCTTTAGTGCAGGAAACTGATGAATGGACCAATGCATGAGCTGTACGGTGTCGGGATCTCAGAATAAGAGTTAAGTAACAGTGAGACTTTCTCACACAGACACTTTCTCGAAATTCTTTTTCTTACTCAGTATACTCATGGACGTATCTTTGTATTTACTTACGTTTTTAACAAGATATCGTAGGTCGAGATACATTGTGTTCTGTTGTCATGACTACCGTCAACTATTACAAGGATCCCAATGGAAATAAGTCACTTCGTCTGACTGTTTTCGATTATCCTGGTTGGTAATTTACACGTACCTTAAATTATGTATGATAATTGTACTTATGTGTACCTGTACCTAAATGAACCTAATTAATAATCATGCTCGTGACGGCCCAGATTTCCTACATCTGCATTACCAAACTCAACATCCATAAGGACGCCTGGAAGAAATATTTTTTAGTAATTTGATAAAATAGGCGAAAAGTATTTCTTTAACGTATATAGAAAGGAAGTGTTCTGTACATGCATCACACGCAGCAACAGTCTTGGAGACCTAAGATAATCAGCATTAGGCATGACAAACCACTGATTCTTCAGATGACTGCACCACTCAGTTGAGTGGGTAACTGGTAGCTTGTGGTGGAGGTCTTCCAGTCACATTGAGGAGGGGAGCACCAGGGTAGGTTATCTTGTATCTAGAGGGGAGCCTAGGAACTTCAGTCCTTCAACAAGCTTCAGGATGATTAACACAGCCTGAAGCTAACGTGTTGTTTATTCCTTAGTCTCCATCTTCTGGGCTGCTTTATAGAGTGAACAGGCTGGTAGTGTCTCGTACCACCAGGTGCATCAGCCTTTCCAGAATTACCTGTGTTGTTGTGTTGTTACTGGTGCAGGTGTTAGTAACAACAGTGTTACTGGTACAGATGTTAGTAACAACAGTGTTACTGGTGCAGGTGTTAGTAACAACAGTGTTACTGGTACAGGTGTTAGTAACAACAGTGTTACTGGTACAGGTGTTAGTAATAACAGTGTTACTGGTGCAGGTGTTAGTAATAACAGTGTTGCTGGTACAGGTGTTAGTAAGAAGAGTGTTACTGGTACAGATGTTAGTAACAGCAGTGTTACTGGTACATGTGTTAGTAACAACAGTGTTACTGATACAGGTGTTAGTAACGCCAGTGTTATTGGTACAGGTGTTAGTAACAGCAGCGTTACTGGTGCAGGTGTTAGTAACAACAGTGTTACTGGAACAGGTGTTAGTAACAGTGTTAATAGTACAGGCGCTAGTAACAACAGTGTTACTGGTACAGGTGTTAGTAACACTCTTACTGGTACAGGTGTTAGCAACAACAGTGTTACTTGTATAGGTGTTAGTAAGTGTTACTGGTACAGGTGTTAGTAACAGTGTTACTGGTGCAGGTGTTATTAACATCAGTGTTACTTGTAAAGGTGTTAGTAAGTGTTACTGGTACAGGTGTTAGTAACAGTGTTACTGGTACAGGTGTTAGTAACAACAGTGTTACTGGTACAGGTGTTAGCAACAGTGTTACTGGTACAGGTGTTAGTAACAACAGTGTTACTTGTGCAGGTGTTAGTAACAGTGTTACTGGTATAGGTGTTAGTAACAACAGTGTTACTGGTACAGGTGTTAGTAACAGTGTTACTGGGGCAGATGTTAGTAGCAACAGTGTTACTGGTGCAGGTGTGTGTAACAACAGTGTTACTGGTGCAGGTGTTAGTAACAGTATTACTGGTACAGGTGTAAGTAACAGTGTTACTGGTACAGGTGTTAGTAACAGTGTTACTGGTACAGGTGTTAGTAACAGTGTTACTGGCGCAGGTGTTAGTAACAAGAGTGTTACTGGTGCAGGTGTTAGTAACAGTGTTACTGGTACAGGTGTTAGTAACAACAGTGTTACTGGTGCAGGTGTTAGTAACAACAGTGTTACTGGTGAAGGTGTTAGTAATAACAGTGTTACTGGTATAGGTGTTAGTAACAACAGTGTTACTGGTGCAGGTGTTAGTAACAGTTTTACTGATACAGGTGTTAGTAACAACAGTGTTACTGGTGCAGATGTTAGTAACAACAGTGTTACTGGTGCAGGTGTTAGTAACAACAGTGTTACTGGTGCAGGTGTTAGTGACAACAGCGTTACCTGGTGCAGGTGTTAGTAACAACAGTGTTACTGGTACAGGTGTTACTGGTGCAGGTGTTAGTAACAACAGTGTTGCTGGTGCAGGTGTTAGTAACAACAGTGTTACTGGTACAGGTGTTAGTAACAACAGTGTTACTGGTACAGGTGTTAGCAACAGTGTTACTGGTACAGGTGTTAGTAACAACAGTGTTACTTGTGCAGGTGTTAGTAACAGTGTTACTGGTACAGGTGTTAGTAACAACAGTGTTACTGGTACAGGTGTTAGTAACAGTGTTACTGGGGCAGATGTTAGTAGCAACAGTGTTACTGGTGCAGGTGTTTGTAACAACAGTGTTACTGGTGCAGGTGTTAATAACATTGTTAATGGTGTAGGTGTTAGCAACAGTGTTACTGGTACAGGTGTTAGTAACAGTATTACTGGTACAGGTGTTAGTAACAGTGCTACTGGTACAGGTGTTAGTAACAGTGTTACTGGTACAGGTGTTAGTAACAGTGTTACTGGTACAGGTGTTAGTAACAACAGTGTTACTGGTGCAGGTGTTAGTAACAACAGTGTTACTGGTGAAGGTGTTAGTAACAACAGTGTTACTGGTGCAGGTGTTAGTAACAGTTTTACTGATACAGGTGTTAGTAACAACAGTGTTACTGGTGCAGATGTTAGTAACAACAGTGTTACTGGTGCAGGTTTTAGTAACAACAGTGTTACTGGTGCAGGTGTTAGTAACAACAGTGTTACTGGTACAGGTGTTACTGGTGCAGGTGTTAGTAACAACAGTGTTACTGGTGCAGGTGCTTAACAACAGCGTTACCTGGTGCAGGTGTTAGTAACAACAGTGTTACTGGTACAGGTGTTACTGGTGCAGGTGTTACTGGTACAGGTGTTACTGGTACAGGTGTTACTGGTACAGGTGTTACTGGTACAGGTGTTACTGGTACAGGTGTTACTGGTACAGGTGTTACTGGTACAGGTGTTACTGGTACAGGTGTTACTGGTACAGGTGTTACTGGTACAGGTGTTACTGGTACAGGTGTTACTGGTACAGGTGTTACTGGTACAGGTGTTACTGGTACAGGTGTTACTGGTACAGGTGTTACTGGTACAGGTGTTACTGGTACAGGTGTTACTGGTACAGGTGTTACTGGTACAGGTGTTACTGGTACAGGTGTTACTGGTACAGGTGTTGCTGGTACAGGTGTTACTGGTACAGGTGTTACTGGTACAGGTGTTACTGGTACAGGTGTTACTGGTACAGGTGTTACTGGTACAGGTGTTACTGGTACAGGTGTTACTGGTACAGGTGTTACTGGTACAGGTGTTACTGGTACAGGTGTTACTGGTACAGGTGTTACTGGTGTGACATGATCTGTGAGTTACATGTTTTCTATCAGTTTTTTTGTATCATGTTACTTCAGACTTTACTGAAGGCTGACCGCACGCCCACACTCCCTTCCGCCCGCACGCCCACACTCCCTTCCGCCCGCACGCCCACACTCCCGCCCGCACGCCCACACTCCCTTCCGCCCGCTGGCCCACATTCCCTTCCGCCCGCACGCCCACACTCCCTTCCGCCCGCACGCCCACACTCCCTTCCGCCTACACGCCCACACGCCCACACTCCCCTCCGCCCGCACGCCCACACTCCCGCCCGCACGCCCACATATACGCCCGCCCGCACGCCCACATATACGCCCGCCCGCACGCCCACATGTGCGCACGCCCGCACGCCCGCACGCCCGCACGCCCGCACGCCCGCACGCCCACATGTACGCACGCAGAAGAGGCAGACCAAACACAAAATTACCTGGTCAAGACTGAGGGACTGACCTCCTCTACTTCTGCCTCCAGTATTGCAATCACCACCGTAATCGACTGAAGAAGCTTCCTAAACAAGCTGAACGTTTCGGCAATAAAGAGCCAGGTGTTGCACCTGTGTCTTAGCTATCTACTGGTACATAGCGTCAGTGAACCTAACTTAACCTAACCTAACCTAACATAACCTAACCTTACCTAACTTAACCTAACCTAACTTAACCTAACCTAACCTAACCTAACCTAACTTAACCTAACCTAACTTAACCTAACCTAACCTAACCTTACCTAACTTAACCTAACCTAACCTAACCTAACCTAACCTAACTTAACCTAACCTAACCTAACCTAACCTAACCTAACCTAACCTAATCTAACCTAACCTAACCTAACTTAACCTAACCTAACCTAACCTAATCTAACCTAATCTAATCTAGCCTAACTTAAACTAATGTAAACTAACCTAACTTAACTTAAACTTATCTAAACCACCCTAACCTAATCTAACCTAACCTAACCTAACCTAATCTAACCTAACCTAACTTAACCTAACATAACCTAATCTAACCTAACCTAATGAAACCTAATCTAACCTAACTTAAACTAACCTAACTTAAACTAACCAAACTTAAACTAACCTAACCTAACCTGACCTAACCTAACCTAACTTAACCTAACATGACTTAACCTAACTTAACCTAACCTAATCTATCCTGACCTGACCTAACCTAATCTAAACTAACCTATTCTAACCTGACCTGGCCTAACCTAATCAAACCTAATCTAACCTAACTTAAACTAACTTAATTTAAGCTAACCTAACTTAAACCAACCTAACCTAACCTAACCTAATATAACCTAACATAACTTAACCTAACTTAACCTAACCTAACCTAACATAACCTAACCTAACCTAACCTAACCTAATCTAACCTAACCTAACTTAACCTAACCTAACCTAACCTAATCTAACCTAATCTAATCTAGCCTAACTTAAACTAATGTAAACTAACCTAACTTAACTTAAATTAATCTAAACCACCCTAACCTAATCTAACCTAACCTAACCTAACCTAATCTAACCTAACTTAACTTAACCTAACATAACCTAATCTAACCTAACCTAATGAAACCTAATCTAACCTAATTTAAACTAACCTAACTTAAACTAACCTAACCTAACCTGACCTAACCTAACCTAACCTAACTTAACCTAACCTGACTTAACCTAACTTAACCTAACGTAATCTATCCTGACCTGACCTAAACCTAATCTAAGCTAACCTATTCTAACCTGACCTGACCTAACCTAATCAAACTAATCTAACCTAACCTAAACTAACCTAACCTAACCTAGCCTAATCTAGCCTGACCTGACCTGACCTAACCTAATCTAACCTAACTTAAACTAATGTAAACTAATCTAACCTAACTTAAACTAATCTAAACTAACCTAACCTAACTTAAACTAAATCTAACCTAACCTAACTTAAACTAATCTAAATTAACCTAACCTAACCTAACTTAAATTAAATCTAACCTAACCTAACTTAAACTAATCTAAACTAACCTAACCTAACCTGACTTAAACTAAATCTAACCTAACCTAACTTAAACTAATCTAAACTAACCTAACCTAACCTAACTTAAACTAACCTAACCTAACCTAATTATTATTATGCTTCAGTCTGGCATCATACAGTGACATGACGAATATTTAATGTTGCGATAATGTTTAAGTTGGCTTAATAAGGTTTAAATCTTGTCGACTACACCATGGCCATTAATTCCGAACCTTAACTGTTCACCACCAGACAAAACTGTTCCCGGTTTACCCGGTATAAGCCCGGTTTTATGGAGGTGTGCTCAACCACATTCAGTTCGGTGTTTCTAAGGCTGCAGTTGGAGCCGCAGGGAAGCCGATGCAGGTGCTCACACAAGTGCTCACTTGTGTGAGCACCTGCTGTGAGACGTTCATAACAGCCTCGCAAAACATGGGACAGCTGCATAGACAAAGGCGACTTACTGGTAGAAAGAGTCTAGTTGGTCAGAGTGGAAGTCTAGGTGGACGTACCATGGCCGCTTCCTGACCAGACGCAAGACGGCAGACAAGTAAAGAAATCATACCAGAGGCAGCTGCTGCCTTCTCAACATTCTTGAAAAACAACATATGAAAGTTTTAGTTTTATGGATCGTCTAAAATATTGACAGGAATCCTACCACCACCACTACTACTACTACTACTACTACTACTACTACTACTACTACTACTACTACTACTACTACTACTACTACTACTACTACTACTACTACTACAACAACTACTACTACTACTACTACTACTACTACTACTACTACTACTACTACAACAACTACTACTACTACTACTACTACTACTACTACTACTACTACTACTACTACTACTACTACTTCCACTACTAGTACAATCAGTACCATCATTACCACAATCAGGAAGCAGAGTCCTGATAGTACATAAACCTTCACATACTCTGACATTCCCACCAACCTTGACTATCACGCTTCCCCACACTCACATACACTCTGTCATACACTCATACACTCATACACTCTCATACACTCTCTCATACATCCTTTCATTCATCCTCTCATACACCCTACTTTGTCAAGCAGTAACGGCTTGACAAAGCTCCTGAAGAGCGAAACGTTGCCACAATAAAATATCACATTAGTTGCATCTGTGTGTCTATTTGCCCAACAGTATTTTGTCGGTAATTCTACCAGAATTACCCTAGAGTAAATTGCTTTGAGTAAATAACAATGACCAAAATGTGTGAATATCTTACCAATATTACTGCCATGGTGGAGTGTGTTTACAATGGTAGCGAAGTAGTCAATGTCTTACACACATAGGCAGACACCAGACTAGTCCAGCAGACAAGGAAGACACCAACTGAGATGGCTGAGGTAAGGTGGCAGGGAGAAGACCCACCAGGAGTGGAACTCACGCAGAGAAAGCACCGGGGGAAAATGCAGCAGCTGGTGGCGTGGTGTTCAGCACCTGCAACACAACTCCCACATAACCTCACTGATGCACGTCCTGTTTACGACTTAAT